TGAATGAAGAAAAATGTCAAGCTGTGAAGGTGAGCCGACGGAGCCACCACACCGAAAAATCTCACCACCAATGGGTTTTTATTTTTTTACTTTTTCGGCCAATCGAGACCCTCTAGCATGTTTTCTCGCATGGATTAGTATAAAATCGATCAAAACTAGCCAGGTCGAGGCAAACCACAGCTATGTCAGAATTTCAAAATTGGTTATAAAATGTTTTTAACACTGATTTTAAATTTTTTTTGGGTATTTTTAAGTACGTGAAACGTGTTTTAATCTCCGCATAAAAATTCAGGAAACCAGAGGGATCGCCAATCAGCGCAGTAGAAAATTTAGTATTTCGAACATCGATTCAGGTAAGAATCCATCACCTTATTCTCTATTATGGAATTAAAGTTTAATAATTGATAATATGATATTTTGTATAATTTAGAAAACTTTAAGAATAATTACAAGTTACCAATGGAGCCGGAAACCAATTAGTTATTTATTTGTTATCATGTTTAACTGATTGTTGATTTTACAGCTTTAAATACATAATGATAACTGGAATGATTAAATGATTCAATTGTAATTCTTTGATATATATATTGCTTGTCTTGAGTGATTTACAGTTGATTTGTAAAATTGATAATTAATACGCAAATGAAAAATTGTTTGATCATCTGAATTAATGAATGGTAGCATTACTGGATATCATGAGAGATGGTGGACAGATCGGGTATATAGAGAACCCTACTGTAACGGCCCCGGAAATTTAAGTGAAAATGTATGTATTAAAAATCTTAAATGCGGAAGCGAAATAAAAATTCTGATTAACATCTCTTACACAATAACCAAAAATATATTTAACATATGAAAGAATAAGCTAATTAAAAGAAATACTCAAAATAAAAACTATAAATAGAACTATAAAGTCTTTAGGTGTCTAACTCGCCGTCTTCCTGCGGAACGGGCTCGGGAACCATGTCTTCTTGATCTGAAATGGTTAAGTAAGGAATGAGCTACACTAGCCCAGTAAAGACATCACACTATCTCACTGTCACAGAAGTAAAGGTGGGTAGAAAACAAAAATGACCAATGGAGTATAATTTATAACAAACTCATTTATTAATAATATAATACTTTACTGTCCACATACCTCGATGAGATTTGTGAAAATAACATGTGAAAACAATAGCATTATAACCATCATAAAATCATATACACTTTGTAACATAGCACATGTCATACTTTTGCACGTCAATAATTAGACAACAAATTTTCTCTTTTACCAGCCTAGTACTATCCATGGAGATCCATAGGGGTCCCCGCTACACGTGAACCATTAACATTAATAACCTGATTCCAGGGCCATCCCCATATCTCGTTCGGTATGGGCACCAAAACCATAAACCATAAACCTCAATATCTCATCCGGTATGAGGGTGAAACAGGTCGTCCCCATACCCCGTCCGGTATAGGCGCCAAAATACATAAAGTCTCCATACCCCATCCGATATGAGAGACCACGTTCCCGGTAGGGTTCCCTATGGACCCGATCCGTCCACCATCTCCCAGGATATCTAGTCAGACTATCCACATTATCCATTTATCAATCCACATAACTTTTTTCCCATTTTTCTTGGTCTCAATCATCCAATCATACACAAACACGTAAACCACTAATGAACACCAAACAAAACAACACAACATCGGGTTCACCATAATTTAAACCATAATAAAAGAAACCATGATTCATGCATACGAAACCATAAAATAAACACATTATATACCATACTGCATTTAAAACTAAGAAATAGATCAAACAACAACTGACCGAAAATACATCAGATTCGGGCTCCATTAGTAACCTTAATTAATTATACACATGTATTAATTCATGAAATGTCATTTTATTATTTATTGCGCTTTAATACCGTGATAGGAGACAGGGTGAGAAATCCTTAATTGTTTCGGGGTATGAAATCGGATCTAGAGTGTGCCTACAGGCTGCCCCTAAATTCCCTGAATTTTCTCTAGGAAACTGAAACGCACTACTGGTACCTGTGCATGTCCCAAAAAATCCTAAATCAGACCCAAGGCCCCTTTTCGGCCAATATCGGAATTCCGGCACGGCGGCTCTGTCGTGCTCCGATAACGGCACCGCCATCTGCGGCGGCAATCTGCCTCGAGTTGGCTATTTTCGACCGAAGTCGGCCAAACTTACATTGGTTCCTACGATAAAACAACCATAGGGCCCTCGGTGGGCTAAAAAATTACGAAAAACTGAGACTTCCCGGCGGCAGAGCTCTCGGGTGTGGCTTCTCCAGCGCGAGTCACGGTTTGATGTTTTGCTCCGGTCAACCTGTAGAAAAAAGGACGGTGATCACAGTGGTGTAAAAAATTGCATCAAACGGGATCGGAAACGGCCTCATCGGAGGTAAAACCGAAGGAAGCGTGACGGCACCGCTGGACTTCGACGGGTGTTTTCGACCGATTGGCCCAGTGGTTTGGCTCTGATTTGGCCATAGGCAGATTCAGCATCGAAAAACGAGCCAAGGGGAGAAAATTTACTTCGTTTGGCGGTCGAAAAACCTTCCGGTGCGGTGGCGGGTGGCGGCAACCGGCTCCTCTGGCGTCTGGTTCTTCTTCTCCAGCGAGGCACTGGCGGCTAGGGTTTGGGGTCGGGTGTGGGTTAGGTTATTTATAACCTTTCCCTTTTAATCTCAGCCGTTCATCACGTTTTAATTTGGGCCGTTCGATCGCGAAATAAATCTGGACCGTCCATCGCGATGAGATCTGGACCGTCCGCACGCATGAGATATGAACCGTTCAATCGAGTGCACACGGATCGCTCACGTGGCTCCGTCTGCGTGGTCTCCCGCGTCAGCTTCCTTGCCACGCGGCGTGTTATGGTTCGCCGGGGCCGCTGACTGGGCTGTTAACGTGGCTGCTGACGTGGCATAACTTTTTTAAATTGCGTTTTAACCCCCTGTTTCATATTTTCTTTTCAAAAATACTCACATAATCCAAATTTTCATCCATTTTTCCCAAAATCAATTTCAATTAAATCCCAAAAATAATTTTACCATATTTTATCATTATTATTATTATTATTATTATTAAATTAAATTAAATTAAATTAAAATCTTATAAATTAAATATTAAAAAATTAAACTAAAATTCTAATATATATAAGAATAATAAGAAAAAATAAAAATAATAAATTGGGTGTTACACCTACCGTCAACGTTGCCTAATACTGGATGGGGTATCGAGAAATAGACTTTTTGGCGCTCATACCGAATGGGGTACGAAGATGGTCCAATTCACCCTCATACCAGACGGAGTATGGGGATGACCAATTTGTTGACAATATTGTATATGGGTTCACGCATAGTGGGACATCCCTATGTGCCTCTAAGGATACCAGTAGACAAATAAAAATGAAAAATTATTCTTCTTGCTCATTTGAATATGAAGTTAGAGTGTTATTTGAGTTATTATCTCTATAGGTTGATTTTAGAAATCTCGTAACGGTAAATATATGCAATAAATAATTTTTCTTATGATAAATGAATTTATTTAAATCAAGAGTTTTATTGGTTGTTTTTATTATTTTCACTAACATTCAGCATCTGTATCGGTGAGTGGAGTGATATTCTTACTGAAATAGTGTAACTCACTCATTTTATTAACTAAGATCAAGATTATCAAAATTCAAATCTCGATCAATAAGAGGGTTATGAATAGTTCACAACCCGGACTCATTTCAAAAGTTAGTGAATGACGTTCTATAATACTCAGTTATTGATTTTTTGTTTATTTCATTAATTTTCGTAATTTCTTTTCGAATGAACATTCTCGTATCTTTATTGGGCATTATAAATTATTGTGTAAGGAATTTAAACTGTAAATTTTATTATTTTGTTTTCCAATTTAATTTATAATTTTATTTTCTTTTAAGTTCCGAACTTTTACATACTCTATTTATCGTTATACTACTTGAAACTCGTTATTTATTTTGTTCTTTATATCTTTACCAAGTTAGATAACCGAACATATTTTTATTAAGACGTCCTTTTAATCATTTTCAAAACTCAAATTGGCATCAATAGTTCCACTTTTGTGTATGAGGAAGATTGATAATATAATATAATATGTGATTTACATAAGTATGTACATATTATAATTATTTTCTGTATATATATATATATTTTGTATAAGCTAAAGCATGCTTGTATAAATAACTGTCAATATACTCAAAAAAACTATAATTTCAGAAATACAATCATTACTAAATTAATATGGTACCAAGCACGTGATTAGTTTTGAGCTCATAATTTCATTCAATACTTGGACTAAGGTTGATGTGCAATTACCTTTTTGCCTGGTTATCTCTATTATCTTTATTTTGGTTATTAAAATACAATAAAAATAATAAATTAGATAACTGAAAATAAAACAAAATTCGTTAAATAAATAATAAATTAATTAAAAAATATCTGATATTTTCTTCGTTTTTTTTTCCCGTCATTTTCTTCAATCTAAAAACATTAATGAACTTCTGATCAAATTTAATGATAAATCAAGCTCGAGACGTATTTGACTTTACTGGAATGGTCTTCGATTCTCATCCCCTCCGGGAATCCAACCGAATGAAACCAGAATTTAAGCCCAAATTCAAAATCAAGAACAACTCCGGTTTATATAATTAGTTCATCCAACACCAGAAAAAGGAGAGAGAAGTGAGACGAAAGAGTTTAATTTGCTAAACCTAGAATTCCTTTCATCAATCATATACATCACAGAGCAATTCCCCCAACAGATGCTGTCAAGAGAAAAAGAGAGAGAGAAACAGAGAGTTGCATATGTTAATTTGAAGAAGAGTGGAAAGGAAGATGGTTACGGGAGTGTTGATTATAGTGATGGTGAGCGCGGCCGCGGCCGGATTCCTTCTCGATCTGCCGGAGAAGACTGAGAAAATCGTCGACGGAGCACGGAAGCCGCAGAGGTCCGGCGGTCTGGTAGCCGTAAACCTCATAGGCTTTATCCAAAAGGCGATTGAAAAGAGGATGATAAAGAAACGAAATCGGAATCACAAATCTCTGAGAGCCTGAACAGCTGCAACAATCTTCTTCTTCTTCAACTCCAACTTGAACTGCAAGCCAACCTTTCTTTACCTTCATCTTCTTCTCCGCCTCTTGCATCTTCTCGTGTGATTTGATCAAAAAATTGAAAGGAGAAGTTGACTGTGATTTCAATTGGAGAGCTTAGTGATGGAGTCCGTAGGAATGGATGTATATATATAGTGGGCAGGGACCAAAAAAGAGAGAGTGGGCGATTTATTTATTTATTTATTTTAAATAAAAAAAGAAGCTATACATTTGGGTTGTGTGTACGTGAGGTGTGTTTGTACTTCATACGGAATAATCATTAATGTATATATTTTTATGATTTCTTTTTATTAATTTTGGACCGTCTCATTTGGTTACCCCTTCATGAAAGCTTCAAACTTTGTATATATTTATGAATTATTATTTGATTAATTTCTAACCATCTTATTTAATTACCCTTACGAAACCTTCAAACTCGAAACATCTTTTTGGGTCATTGTATTTAGATTAGATATTCAATTAAAAAAAAAAAAATGTTTACAATTATTTTCAATTGTGTAATTTTAAAATTCGTATTTTTTAAATATATCAAAACATGTTAGAATACATGATTCAATTTGAATTTTTGACTTTATATTCAAAGAATAATTTTGTATTATTAATAATAATTATTGTTGTGAGTAACATATATATTTGTATTTTTATTTATTATTATCAATAGAAAAGGAATTAGGAGATCATTATATATATCAAACTAAATAGGGAAACGGGTACTTTAAAAACTTTTAAGTCTTTATTGAATACTTTGAAAATGTTATTTAATTATAAATTAATATATATTTCGTTCATAAAACTATAGTAAAATTGATAATAAATTATAAAATTTATAAATATTTTTTTAAAAAAATAAAAAATTTAATTAATAAAATAAGTAGATATATTATTGATAATATGGAATATTTTTGGTTTGTCGTCAAATTATGAATGGATATTAAAGAAGTCTTCCATTGCATAATGTCATCAAGGAATTTATAAGGTATAAGCTTCCTGTCCAAGTGTAATGTGTGGCCATGGAGACAGCAAACTAGGCACAAAACCCACCATAACAAACAAAGGTTGGGAGAAATTCTTGTTTTGGTACGCAACATAAGTTTTTCTTCTTCTTTTTTAATTATTACACACCAATCAAATAATTCAAGCTTTAAAATTTAGGGCAACACTACATTAGTAGTTTATATATATATATAT